GCACATTGTAGCAAAGGCCTGGGTGCAGAAACAAGGCTGATATTAAGGATAGGAAAAGGCCAGTGTGGTGAGCTGTGGGGAGTGGCAAATGAGATTTGGAGAGTTAGGGCCCACATCATTAGGATACCTGTGTTTTATTTTAAGTACTTTAAAAAGCCACTCAAGTGCTTTAAATATGGAAAGTGTATATCAGGAGAGAGACACAATCTGGTTACAGCAAAGATCATAGTATGGTAACATCAGAAAGAACTGGTTGAGCTGCTTTATTTAAGGCATTTGGGCCTGGCAGGCATTTAGTTTTCAAAACTTGTTCAATCCAATCATCTAGAAAGTCTTGTGGAGGGGCAGGACTTTATGGATGACTGGATTAGACAATTTATAACTTTATAAGCATGCTTTCAAAAGCACGTTTATGACTTTATAAGCATGCTTTCAGTATTCTCAAAAGTTATGATAGAAATATTGCCTCAGAGGATGGGTATGAAGGTCAAAGTCACCAATGAGGATGGGAGGATCTAAAACCAAGGTCTAGATATTGCAGAGTTTGAAGAAGAGTCAGCTGAATGACAGAGGGAATTTCCCAACTTCCCTCCTCAAATGACCCCACTGCTTCTTGTTCCAGAACTGAAAGATGAAAAATCAGCTTCAATTGACAATGAAAGAAAAAGTAGATTCATTGAGAAAGAGGATGAAAAGAGATAAAACTGGCTGCAAAGTCAAAAGGGAGCATGTTTGGAAAGGGAGCATATGGTAACTGTAAAATGCCAAAGCAAACCTTTCTTTGAATAACTATTTCTTTCTAGTGATGTCTTTGACCCATTTTATGATTCTCACCACTTATGGGAGAATCCTAATTCTAAATCACCCTAACCTCATGATAGCACCCAACCCTTGGTTCATGCCTGTTGAGCCCCCTGTAGAAACAGCAACCAACATGGAATTGATATCTGCCTCCCCAATACCATCCACAAAATCCTTCAGAGGGAACTCAGTCCTCACCAGAGATGCTTCCCTCCTTATGTAGGCATACTCTCCCTTGTTTTGTGGAGACAGTAAATCTGATTTTGTCAGACCACAGATGCATGCCTGAAAGTCTTAAACCATCAGTCTCAGCCTGTCTTCTCCCTGTGTCATTTCCCCTCATGGACCTGAAATATGGTCAGGGTCATGGTGAGGTAGTGAGACAATTTTAAAACCAATCTACTGAAACTCAGGACTGTAAATAGTGAAGTTACATTCCTTCTTATAGTTCTGCTTTTTGCTGTTCTGCTAGAGGAGTAAGTGGTGATATTACTAGTTTTCTAAGGGAAGGGTGGAGTTGGGTCTCAATGTACTTCTCAGAAATCCACAACATCAAATTTTCACACCATGATTCTTGTTCCTATTGATAATCTGTCTCAATATATGATGTTTAAACTACTCTAAGTTTTTTTTTTAAATAATGACTCCACTGGCTACTAACTGATATTAATTTGTAGGGCCTCCACAGTGTTAGCAAAATGGCTAGCAGGAGTATTAAAACAACTACCAGTTTCTATCATTCCAGGAATGTTTATACATTCCTAAGGTAATTACAGACTTTCTGCTACCTACAGCACAAAAATACAAATATATGTTATTGATACTATCAGCTTGGAGCTTTTTTTAAAAAATAGTTTTATTTTATTCATTTATTTTTATGTCATGCTGGTGTTTGAACCCAGGGCCTCACACGTGCTAGGCAAGCACTCTACCACTGAGCCACAACCCATCCTCTCAGCTTGGAGCTTGAGCTTACTTTTCCATGAATAAAAATGTTTGCTATTTTTTGGGGGTGGGGTTGTGGCTCAGCGGTAGAGCGCTCGCCTCGTACGTGAGAGACTCTGGGTTCGATCCTCAGCACCACATAAAAATAAATAAGTGAAATAAATAAGTGTATTGTGTCCAACTACAACTAAAAAATAACTATTTTTTAAAAATGTTTACTATTTTTAAGCATTATTTATAGGTAGTTTGCATGATGTTGCCCCTGAGAGGAAAGAAAGACAGAAAGACAGAAGGAAGGGAAGGAAGAAAGGAAAGGAAGAAATAAAACTTTGGAATGTGTTGTGCTCAGATATAACAAGTAGCAAATATGTTCATGGAGTAGCAGAGACACCTACACCATAGGTGTAAAGTCCGGGAATGGGGACTTCAGCTCACCTCTTTTTAACTCTGTGGCCTTGGGTTATTATCCTATCTGAGCCCCAGTTTCTTCACTCATAAACTGGCAATAATAATAATACCCACCTTGCAGAGGTGTGGTGAAGTTAGTGGTCATGTATTCAAAATGCTGGAATAGTGTCTGATATATAAGTAGGTGTTTAGCAAGCAGTTGCTATTTTTATTGATGTCAACTAACAAAAATATTAATTACTTAATTCCTTCTCCCTCCACAAGTCCAATGCCACTTTATATCCACTCCAGGCCCCACTCCCTACCAGGTGGCTCAACTCTGAGTCAGTATTGAGGCTATTCCTGACCTCCATATCAACCCATCCAGGCTGCTGGTGTTCCTGCTCACTGGCTTCTGCCTTGAGAATTAGTCCTCTGCCCTGTTCCCATGGCCTTAGTCTTTGATGCTCCATGCAGAACCAGACTTTTCTCTTTGTGACCCAGTACCCGCAGGGAGGATCAAGGATAACTGTCTTGTTCATGGGGTCAGTCAAGGATTGCAGACCTGCCATCAGCTAACAAGCCTTCCTGAGTCCACCGCCTGGATTTCCAAGTATCACCTGCTCTGGACTTCCAGGCCTTATCCCTCCAAGGTTGGCATAGCTCAGTTAATTGAAGTTAGATCTTCTCTCACTTGGCTGAGACAGTGTCCAGCCTCCCTGACTGCACCTTTCTCCCAGAACCTATTCTGAATACCTACCTAACCCAACTCAGTTATCTGGTCTAATTCTGGAATGCTGTTTATTCTTTTTTTTTTTAAAAAAAAAATTGTAGTTGTAGATGGTCAGAATTCCTTTATTTTATTTGTTTATTTTTATGTGGTGCTGAGGATTGAACCCAATGCCTCATGCACGCCAGGCAAGTCCTCTGCCACTGATCTACAGTCCCAGCCCTGGGATGCTGTTTATTCTTCTTGCCTAATCCATGTTGGTAGAAGTATGAGGAGAGTAAAAATACCAAATTCACATTTTTTAATTGAGAGTCACATTGAGGTGTAGATCTGTTGGCTTTGTAAACAGTAATTAATGGTGCCAATGCAATTAAAGTACTCTGGAGTTGCAGAGGAGTAGCTTCTTCTGTAGAGCTTTAAATTAATCTGGAATGTTGGTCTATTAAAGCGCAGGATACTACAGCTGCCATTACCATTAAACAGTTCACTGAAGGCATAGTTGCAGTTTAGCGTCACAATATATAGTCAATTCTCAAAAAACACAGCTGTTGTTTGTTACTGACTCTGTTTGGGAACTAAAGAGTAATAAAAGCAGCCATAGCTGGTACTGTTTTGTCAACATTGTCCCAAAAGTAAGTCCAACTCAGACCCAAGAAGCCACTGGGCTCAGTAATCCTTTCTTCCTTATAAAGTATCTGGGAAACTTGGAGCATGATGGGGTGTTGTTTTTCTAATTTGACCTGCCTGATGCCTGATGGCAATAATCTAAGTTGGGAAGAAGACAATGTTTGTGTGTGTGTGTGTGTGTGTGTGTGTGTGTGTGGTGCTGAGAAGCAAACCCAGAGCCTCATACATGCTAGGCAAGTGCTCTACCACTGAGCTATATCCCCAGTCCCAAGACAATTTAAAAGAACACTTCTTGCGGTAAAACAATGCATGTTTGTTCTTAAAACAGAAAAATACATTGAAGTATAAAGAAGCAGATAGAATCATCATCCCAGCATCCAGAGATAAGCTTGCTAATATTGTATGCTGATTATACTTTTAGTCTAAAAACAACTGTGCATATAACAAGACATTTATTAGAAAAAATGGGGGGGAAGTAATAATAAAAGCATAAACCATCATTTATCGAACATTTATTATGTGCCAGGCAACACACTAAGTGCTTTAATGTGTATTAATCTATTTAATTGGCCATGACCACAGTCACAAGTATGCTCAGGCTTCAGAAGAAGTTGGCCTCCAGGGTCCTCCACTCTGGCAAAAAGAAGGTCTTTTTAAGGACCCAATGAAATCACAATGTCAATTCCTGTCAGCAGATCCAGAAGCCGATCAAGGACAGGCTGGTTATCCTTAAGCCTGTGATTGTTCCCTGACTAAATGATGGAAAAACACATTGGCCTGCAGGAAGAGCAGGCATATGGGCATAGGTAAGCAAGTGGGGTACAGCCAATGCTCGAATGCCAGGGAGGGTCACCAGACTGAGGAGGATGGGGTTTCTGCCCAGGCTGCTATGATACCATTAATCATTAATCTTCACTGAAGGTAAAGGCATTGCGTTCAAAAACAAGAGGACTGTGGGAACACATCTATAAGCTGAAAGCAGACAAGGTTGAGGCCAGCAGCTCCAGAGCCAGGAAGTGTGCAAGCTTGGTGAGCAGGGCTTCCAGGCCAAGAAGAAGGAAATTATCAGGACCATCAAAGTAGGAAGGAATCTCAAAATAAAGTCCCCCTTCTCTTGTCTGTATATAAAAGCCTCAATATCACTGAAATAAAATAAGCCTTCATCTGCTTGCCAAGGAAAAAACAAACAAACAACAACAGAAAAAAACCCCTATTTCTCCCAATATCCCTGTCAGGAAAGCTAGTGAGATAAGCAAAAGTGACTCAAACCAGCAGCCTGTCTAGGCCCTTACCCAACATACTAGGAAAGCAGAAACTGAGGACATTTAAAGTTATGACTCATAGAACCACTTCAACATGTCACTTTTCAAGAAAATTATTTCAGTAACATCAGAAAATGTATACATGGTATAAGAAGCAGGAGATATTAAGCACAATGTGTTGTTATTAAAAACATGTATTAGTCAGTTATTCATGTACATTAAACATTTATTAAAACATTTAGCTCTTCCTGCCACCTTGGAGCCTGAGGAGGCCTGCTGGGAACAGGACTTCTAAAAGGCAAATATGTCTGGAAGGCTGTGGTGCAAAGCTCTTTTTGCTGGCTATAAGTGGGGTTTCCGGAACCAAAGGCAGCACACAGTTCTAAAAATTGCAGGTGTTTATGCCAGAGTAGAAACCAAGTTCTACTTGGGCAAGAGATGTGTTTATGTGTACAATGCAAAAACCAACACTGTGACTCTTAGTGGCAAACCAAACAAAACTAGAGTAATCTGGGGAAAGGTAACTTGTGTCCATGGAAACAGTGACATGGTTTGGGCCAAATTCCAAAGCAACCTTCTTCCTACTAAGGCCATTAGACACAGAATCCATGTGATGCTGTACCCCTCAAGAATTTAAACTAATGGAAAATAAATAAAGATGGATTTGTGCTCTTGTATTTTTGATGTTGCTACTGTTTGGTGACTCAAAAACTTAACCGTCTTCAGTTGATTTGCTATATGCTTAAAAAGGTGGAGGTTGCCCAGCATCTTGAAAATACAGGGAAGTCTGAGGGTTATATGTAATGGACAGTATGGGGCAGCTACAGAGATTTAGAAAGCAACAGGTTAATGTGAGTATCTTAATAGATAGGCATTTTGGAGGAAATAAATATGCTTTGGGGAAAGTGGAAAGGTGGCTTATCATTAGATTAAGTGAAAGAAGCATAAAATTATCTCTCAAAAGGGTTGAGGACATAGCTCAGTGGTAAGAGTGCATAAAAGTGTGAGACCATATTTCATCCCTAGCATTACAAAAAAAAAAAAAAAAAGCTTTGTAATGGATTGTACTAGTTCACTATGGATTGGGAAGCTTATGAGTGAAAATAGAATTGGAAATAATTTCAGTGGAAATTAAATAGATGATATTTGTTAGTGCCTTCTGATGGGCTTGGATGACTATTCTTGGGATTTGTGATTGGACAAGTAAGTGTATATTACTTGATTGGTGGTGTAATGCAAGCTGAAAATGTCAACCTAATGCTGCATCATTCTACTTCAGAATAAAACAGTGCATGGACAGAAAAAAATATTTATTAGTTTTTGCATATGGCACTGCTCCAAAATTTAACATTTTTCTCTCACAAACAGCATGACAGTATAATAAATAACTTTTTGCCTATCCCTTTATCCCTTGATGCATTCAACCTATTTTAATATCTGGCCTCATTATAATTGATACTGCACATCAGGGACTAAAGGAGAAAATCTGAACATCAGGGAAATAAAGAAAAGAGAGAACAGCACATGATAAGCTGGTTTGAGAACACATCTGTGATACTTTCTTTTAATTATTAATTAATTTATGTATTTTAATTAGGTATATATGACAGCAGAATGCATTTGATTCATTGTGCAAAATTGCAGCACAACTTTTCATTTCTCTGGTTGTACACAAAGTAGGGTCGCACCATACGGGCAGTCACACATGTGTCTCTGAGATACTTTCTAACTGCATACATTAATATTTGCATCTTTTGAGCAGGGCTCGGTAGCCCTTGCCTGTAATTCCAGAGGCTCAGGAGGCTGAGACGGGATGATCACAAGTTCAAAGCCAGCCTCAGGAATAGTGAGGCACTAAGTAACTCAGTGAGACCCTGTCTCTAAACAAAACACAAATAAATAAATAAATAAATATTGCATTTTCTGAAGTAGATTAGTCTTCCATGGACTATAGTAACAGTGACCTCACCGGTCACTCTGACAGCATTCACTCTGACATCCTTCAACCCATTTTTTACATACAGCAGTCATAGTTGCCTTGTGAAACACAAATTTAGGCCTTCCACTTCTTAGAATGAAGACCACCTGACCCACCAGACCCTGCTATTCCCAGCTGCACACACTGGCCTCCATGGGGTCTTCTTCCCTTTCCTCCCTCCAGACAACCTCCGCCAAGCCCTCTGCCTGATTCCCTTCCCATAATGCTTTCTCTCCTCTTTTGGCTTGGAGGATGTTTTCCTCAGAGGAGCCTTCGCCAACCTCCCTGAATAGGCCAAATTCCCACTTGCCAATTTACAGCACTGGGCACCTTTCCTTCTTAGCACACGTCACAATCTCAGCTTTATATTTATGTGTTTGACTCCTTATTTGGTATCTGTCTTGATGACTAGATCATGCACCCCATGAGAACAGGCTTCATGTCACCAAGCTAGAAATTCAAGGTTTTAGCATGGCAGCTTGGCACAGAGTAGGGACTCAAAAAATGAGTAAATGAATGACTAAATACATCTTTACTTAAATGTTTTCTGGTTGCTATTTTATTTTTACTATTTTAACTTTAATGGTACTAGGGATTGAACCCAGCACCTCACACTAGGCAAGTACTCTACCCCTGACCTACACCCCTAGCCCACTAGCTGCCATTTTTTTAAAAATAAGTTGCCCATTTGAATTACTGTATGAATGGTACGGTAATAACAACATGAAGGCAAAATAGTCTCTGAGACTGAGTGAGCACTAAGCTGATTTTACTATCCAACACAGAACAGGGAGGGGTTCAACCCTGGAATGAAGCCTCAGGGAATAGAGGAAATATAGCATTTTAAAACTAAATCCACAAATGCTCCATAGTGAAGTGGTGTCCTGATTGGTTGAATCCAGACAGTATGTTGAGTCAGGCTGCAGACAGTGACTCTTTCGCTATAAAAATGCTTTTTTGCTGGTTATTAATAGTATTCTGAGAAAAACACTGTTTTTTTTAAAGTCCCTGTCCTTTTCTTTCAGAGTCTTTACTGCTTGCTATCTTGAAATTTCTTTAACCCTCTAAAGCTGAGAGTTCTGCATGTTGTTACTTTGAGGATTCATCCATAGAGACTATGCTTTTTTATTTTTGCCTAGTTAAAACAATGATTTATATTCATCTCTAAGATGGGGCCAGTAAATAATAACATCCTCACAGGATTCATATGAGCATTATTAAAATAATTCAATAAGGACTGGGGTAGTAGCTCAGTGGTAGAGCGCTTGCCTTTCAGGTGTAAAGCACTGGGTCTGATCCTCAGCATCACATAAAAATAAATAAACAAATTAAGATATTGTGTCCAACTATAACTAAAAAATATTTTTTAAAAAGATAATCCAATAAAGGAAAATAATAAGTGTACAGATGCTTAATAAGGACCACTTAGATATTGTTGAAAATGATATTAGTGGTTTAAATGATAAAATTCTATTTGCAGACCAGTATGCCTATAAAGACTACCCATTTCTTTATTGATCTTCTTAAGCAAAAAAGGGATGATTTGGAGAATCTCCCTGAATGAGTTTTTCTTCATTATGTTAAATAAACTCGGGCCTTCAGTATTATAAATTTGAAGGCCAATTTTTCTCAAAAGATTCCTTAGGCAGTCATCTTGGGAGCTTTAGGAGAGTAGAGTTCAATAAAGTACACAATGAAGTCATAGCTCTGAGCTCTTTTAGCATCTCACCTTGATTTTTTATAAGAGATGTATTATTAGGAAAGTTTCTTAACTTCTCAGAGCCTCCATTTCCTCATCTATAGGAGAGTAATAATAATACGCGTTGAGTGTCCCTTATTCAAAATGTTTAGGACCAAAAGAGCTTTGGATTTCAGATTGTTTTGAATTTTGGAATATTTGCATGTACACAAGGAGATATTTTTTTGGGGGGTGTCTCAATTCTAAACATGAAATTCTTTTATGTTTCATACATTCCTTATGCACATAGCCTGAAAGCAATTTTATGCAATATTTTAGTATGATTGCATCTTGACTCATTTGTCACATGAGGTCAGGTGTGGAATTTTTCACTTGTGATGTAATGTTGGTGCTCATAGTTTCAGATTTTGGAGCATTTCAGGTTTAGGGTTTGGGGATTAGTGATGCTTAACTTGTAATAGCTTGATATATCACTAAGCTATATCGTAAGGACTGAGAGAGAAAGGTTTCATGGAAAACTATAAACTAGTAAGTAAATTGAGCAGTTTCTTTATGAACTGAATATTTGTATCCCTCTAAAATTCACAAGTTGAAGTCCTAATTCCAACAGTGCTGGTTTTGGAGATGGAACCTTTAGGAGGTAGTTAAGTTTAGATGAGATCATGAGGGTAAGGTCCTTGTGACCTTAGTAGACTTTAAATAAGACATAGGTAGGAGAGAGCTAGCTTCCTCTCTATTCTTAGTCTTATGTGGATACAAGAAGACAGCTGGTTGTCTACAAACCAGGATGTAGCCCTTCACCAAAACTGGATCTGCCAGCACCTTGATCTTTGATTTCCCAGCCTCCAGACCAGTGAGAAATAAATGTTGTTTAAGCCACCCAATCTATGGTAATTTTTGTATAGCAACTCAAATTAAGACAGATTATTAGCTATATATAAACTATTAGTTTTACATACAATAATGATGATAAAAATATGTGCTTAATTCTCCATAGAAACATAGTCATACTAACCTACCTGTAGGTATATAAATTGGTCTTTTGACCTTGATAAAACCCAACATGTTAAAGCATTGTAGGAACCAAAACACAAATGTAAAAGATCACCAAATTATCATTTTGACATTTAAAATCATAACATTGACACATTCCTAAAGATAACATCCTCTCTCTAATCACCCAGAAAGGAGCCATGTAATTCATGAATGCAATGTCCCTACCTGTTTAAAAATCAAAGGTATCGTATTATATTATTGTTATGTCAATGCTAAACCAAATGAAATATTTATAAAGAAAAATACATAAATAATATTTAATGTAAAATAAGCACAAGTTGTCTAAAAATCAAATGTGTCATTAAATTTAATCCTGCACTATTTCAGAGGAAACAGGATTAACTTTCTCTCCCCAGCTAGGCAGAGTTATTTGTCCTTGAGCATACACCCGCAATAGGAACAAAGTAATCCAGACTTTGGGGATGATACCAGAAGATCTCAGAAATTACTCTCTTAAATTAACAAGTGAATTACAACTTCGACAGAGAACATGTGGAATGTAGCCTTTAATCACCTCTGTCAAAGGCCCCTGTTCCTGATGATGGGCAGAATCACAGCCTTTGGGACAGGAGTCCTCTGTGTTTCCCCTTTGCTAGCAAAGAATAAACCTTCTTCCTTTTTCTCAAAAAAAAAAAAAAATCCTACATTACACATAATGTAGAGACTGGTTTTAAAGTCTCTAGATAGTTATATATGAGAAAGCATTTGAATTCTCTGTATATATGCATGCAGGTATATGTGTGCATGTATACATACATATATGTACACGTGTACAGCATATATTTTCCCAAAGAAGTTTCATTTATGTGCTGCGAATAAATGAATCATTTTGATTGTCATTTCCTTCATTCCTTCATTTTTTAAAAAATACTTTTTAGTTGTTGATGGACTTTGTTTATTTATA